ATATTATATATTATATATATATATATATATATATATATATATATATATATATATATATATATATATATATATATATATATATATATATTATATATATATATATATATATTATATATATATATATATATATATATATATATATATATATATATATATATATATATATATATATATATATATATATATATATATATATATATATATATATATATATATTATATATTATATAATATTATATATATATATATTATATATATATATATATATATATATATATATATATATATATATATATATAATATATATATTATATATATATATATATATATATATTATATATATATATTATATATTATATATATTATATATATATATATATATATATATATATATTATATATATATATATATATATATATATATATATATATATATATATATATATATATATATATATATATATATATATTATATATATAATATATATATATAATATATATATATATATATATATATATATAATATATATATATATATATATATATATATATATATATATATAAAAAATCTGTTTTCAAATTCTATGGCATTACAGTGCTTAAGGCTGTGCTGTGTTGCAGTTTTATAGTTTCTGCATTGAACATACAAAATTATGTTTTAAGTCAAAAGAACACCCCAAACATTAGTTCTTATAAAATCTTCTAGTACATTAACCAAAGAAAATGTTACAAAGAGATATTTACATTATAGGTATACACTCTCAAGGTTTCTGTTCTCAAGCAGGACTCGTGGACATACCAAGTGGCGTATGTTATCTGTACACTGAGAGGGATTGCATTTATTTGTCATTTTTTGGCATCCTCTTTCTATTCTTTTCTCTGTCCCATTTAGACAGACAACTTTAAATTCTAATAAATTAATAGCTTGCAAATACTTGGGGCTTTCAAGATACCAATTTTAGTAAAATGGACATATCATATATGACCATCATGGCTACCAACTTGAGTGCTTTTTCCGGAACACACTCAGGTATTGGCTATTAGAGTTCACTGTGTTGTATTCATGAATAAGTGTGTGTGGCAAGTAAGGTTATGTTGGATCTTCAATTATTCCATAGTGATGTTATAAACAAACTATATTTTCAGTCTACACACTAATGTTATTTCCAACTGTTATCAACTGATAAAAAATAGGTCACTCCCTGTTGTCCTGAGTCTTGAAAAAAGAAAAGAGGAAACCGCAATTCTTGTCTTTTCCTGCAAGCATTATAAAATCAGTTAATGTCACACAACCTTTAGCACCATCACTGCCTCTCAATCATGTGTGTGTTTGGTTTCAGCGAGATATTTTCAGTCTAGCAATGTTCACCTTCTAATTTTGTAAATGTAGAAACAAAAAACACCTTGCAAAACTGAGAATATCATATGCAAATATCATTTAGTGAATCTACACAAAGTATATTAGAATTTGGGGTGGGGAAAAAAAGGGTGGACATGATTCAGAGCATAAAAAATTCATTTCCATCATATGGCTAAATTAAATCAATAAGACCTTTCAGGTAAAACTACAGTTATTGTATTGCTGGAATTTGCAAATCATGTCCAAACTGTAGAATCACACTTTGAGTTGTACAGAATGAAAATGAATACTACAACAGCACCGTACACATGAATAGTAAAATATACACAAGAGGTGCTATGAACAATAAATCAATGCTTTTGTTTCTTTTATTTTGGTCATAGACAAATAAACTTATATATGAATAATAGATGCCTTACACTCTTTATATATTCTGACATCAAACCATCACCAGATTTTTTATATAAATATCATTGTATAACTAAAAGCAGAGTAACATAATACAAATCTGCACCAACTCTTTGGACATCTAATTTCATCTGAGGACCTACAAGGTGCTTGCCCAGACAAAACATGCCCTCATATAACTACCTGTGCACGGAAAATATATATCTATATATATCTGTATACCAGTCAACCAAACGACAATTTTTAAAACTATAAGTGTCGAGAAATTTCTTTTTGCTTTGGAATATCATGAGAACATGCGAAAAAGAAAATGATATCAATAATAATAATATTAGTAATCACTTTTATACATATGTATAAAAATGCTTAAAAGTGGTGAACTGCATACTAATATTAAGCCCAAAAAATTGTCTCAGAAAAAAAGTACACTCCAGCTATAAAATCATCTTGTCTTGCTTCTTCAATTCAATGAAAAAAAAAAAAAATTATTCACCCTCACTGCAAAAATATAAACCATAATTTTATATAACCCTGCAATTTTGCTAATAAAAAAAGCAGACATGAAAAAGAAGAAGAAAAAAAAATCTGGAGCTGTCAAGACTCATATTCGTACCTTTGATTAACCAAGACTGAGTTTAAATCCACCAATATGTTTGAAAAAGAGCCTCAGGTGTGTGGAATCTTCAAAAAAAATATCCACTCACAGCACAACCATAATAGGGCTCTATTTTCTCATGGTTACGCTGTGCCTACACTATAACCACACATTTCTGTCACACACTACCACTATTTGTAACACAGGTGAAATAATGCCTTTGATAGAACTGATATTCTGATCATTTTGTCAACAATATCACATCATGAAGTTAAATCAGCTTAGGGAATAATGCATGCTAATTAGATTTAACAGCGTCTCAGCATGTTACATCACTTTTTCCGAAGATGGCCTGACGATTTGCAAGTCTCAACAGGTACAAAGCTTGTGGTTTGGATTGTAAATGTTTATCTTCATTCAAAGATTTATGAGCTAAGAATCAGGGTGAACCTCAAAATAAACTAATCATAAGGAAGAGAATGCTTGTAAATACAGCCAAAAATCACCCTTAAGCAAATCTTGTCATAAAATGCCCCAACATTCATATATGTACAGAAAATGTTTCATCCTAAATATATATTTCATGCAGCCAGTGTATTTCCCCCTCCCCTACTAAATACATATGTAATTATGTTTACAGTTTCATACAAAAGAGAAGAAAAGGTATTTTATCTTTCTTGAAAACCTTTTCTTAAAGATCATCCATCCCTTTTACCCTTAAAATATACTGCTGAAAAAAGAAAGACAAAAGAAAAAGAAAGAAAAACAAAAAGAACCACATCAGCAATGGGGTGTGACTTAAGACATTTCAGGATCACAAAAGAAAAAGAAAAAAAAAAGAAAAATAAACAAAATAAAAAATAAAATAAATAAGGAACATAATTTCAACTCCCACTAAGTCATCATCAGACTCATCACAGGCACTAAATATTTTCAACTCTTCGGGTCATGAGGCAGCTACGTTTATTTGATGAAAGCTGCAAACACTGACCACATGAGGTCATTGGCATTGGGCTTTGCAGCTTCTGTGTCCAAGTCTAGGTCCAGCAGATCTCGAACACGTTTCATGGCAACCTGCAAGGACAACTGAAGTAAGAACTCTTGCACCCGAGAAAAGCATTCTTCATTCAATTACTTGGAATATTAATAATCAAATATATCCACACAAACCTTAGCAAATGTAAAACACACACATGCACGCACCCACATACCTCATAATCATCATCTGAAAGTGGAGCAAAGGCATTTTCCAGGACATCTGAAGCATGTGCCAAATATATAAGAGACAACACTCGTCGGTCCATCCTCTGAGGATCGCCAACCCATCGACTTAGCACACTATCTTGAACCTGAAAATACCATGTAAATTACATAAAGCAAAAGTAGCTGAAAAGCATATTACTACTGTGTTATCAACTTGTTTGACTCTCAGTTGTAATCTATAATAATTATGTATAATAATAATAAACTATAATGTAACTGACTAAATTCTGTGGATGTAATAATTTTTAGTGGTATTTGATCATACCACAAACACCAAACTTGAGTGTTCTGTTAATTAAAAGTTCCCTGCTCATCTTGACTACAAAACTGCTTTCCCCACTCACCTTCTTCACCAATTTGGTTTTGGTAACGTTGTCTGTGAGGGGATGGGTAGTCATGTCAAAGACGAGGAAGTTTTGTTTCTCTGTTGTAAGAACACCTTTCTCCACCAGATTCTTGGCCAACCGCTCTCGCACATTGCGCAGTTGGTAACGTAGTTTTAGTGGATTCCACGATTCACCTGATGATGTAGGGAGTTCCATGAATGCATGATATTATGTTACTTCACTGCGCTTAATAAGATATACTTAACCTATTGACCTCGAGTTAATAATTTGACTAGTGGGCCATTAAAGCAAGATTACTGGTGCGCATCAAAAGTTTCTTCTGTTTGCACCCAGCTCATTTGGTAGTTTGCGGGCTTATATTTTGATATCATTTTTCTAAAATTTACAAATGCACTAATACTCTCGCACAATATTCAAGACTCCTTGCCTCTTTTTCAGTTTGCTATTATTGCTATTTTGCCCTATATTTGCCATCTGATGTTCTATCAAGATGGCAGACTCCATATGATCTCTAGGTTTCCACCATCTCTGTGCAATAACAGTAAGTAATTTTGTGTTATCAGTGTCATTTTTTCTTCTTCACATTATTCAATTTTCTTTGCCACACCCTGTGCCATCATTCCCAGTGGGTAGCAATAGGCTACTGAACATTGAAATAATGTCCACCCTAGAGCTGGAACTCTTCTACGAATGGCACATCGATGGTTCTCTTGTTCTCTTCGTTATTCGTAATTGAGTACATTACGTACAAAAAGACCGAAACAAAGCAAACATGAACCAAAAGTGTGACAATCATTCACATCCATATTCTTTCGCTGTGTACAGGTAACCAAGATGTGTTGCAAGGCCTCTCTCCGTTCCTGGAGCTCATGCCAGATAAACTATAATCTATATTTGATCCTATATTCTTAGACAGTCCACAACTGCTATAGCCTCCTCTTCTGCATACAACCTTGTTTTTATATCTCATGTAGATATCTATATATTTTTCACACATGACAAAATATCCACTGGGAAAGTTTCATTAAAAGGATATGAACATTTTAAGCTCATGTTTGAAATTTTTTTTTTTTATGTTTGTATCCCCTTAACTGCAATATGAATTACAACAACACATACATTTTCAAGTAGTTCAAAGTTTAAAACCTGTTTGTCCTTCTCTAGGTCTACCAAAATTCAAAATTTTAAATAAATAACTGCCCAAACACCTTTTACCATTAATTTACAAAATATTCCAAAGGTTTTTCGACAGACAGGAATAATGAGCATACACAAACTTACCTGAGAGATATTCTATCCAAGCCTGCACAGTCTCAGGTGGATCGGTTTCCTTCATGTGTTTTAGTGCTTCATCCAGGAGGACATCTCCTGTTGGCTGGTCTGACCGCAAAAGCACCTGGGGATCAAGGATGCTCAGTATCCCATGGGTAAGGCAACAAGGACCTCCAGAACTACATCTCGCAAGACATGCATTAAGGGGACCGTCCCAGATGAGGGGGTGGACAAGGGGTCAAATTGAGTTAGCTAGCATATAGTATAGGTGCATGGGTGAGGAAATTATCAAACGAGTATTAAGCGCCTGCTATGGCTCGTTGTCTTGCAGCCGACACGAGACTCCCTCAGCACCTGGGGAGTTACGCCGCTAATAAGCGCCCAGGTACACCTATGTGGACTTCTGTTTGCTGCAATCATGCATACGGCATTTACTTTTGACATTGCGCATGATTATGAGTTCGTGAATGTTCAAGGAACTCTTTTATACCAATATCAGGAAAAAATTATATCACCGTGATTTATGACAAAATATTTTGTGATTTATATCTTTAAAAAAATGTAAGTTTTGTGTCCTTTTACACACAAAATATGCTTCGATCGAGACTCCCAAGTAATATGTTTTAGTTTACGAGGTAATATGTACGTATATCACATATGAAGAACTAATGTTTAAAAATAGCATGATTTTATGCACTTCTTAGTAAAGATAATGGGTGCAAATGGCTAACCATAAACTCTACACTTGTTCTCCTTTGCAATCTGTTAATATTGACAATCATGAAAGAAAATGGTCTGAGAGGGATAACTAATATATTTTATCATTTAGATATGAAAGTCAATGTAGGCCTACTAAATGAGGATGATTAATCTTTTTAACTTTATGTGCGTGTGTTCACGTACAGATGATCCTCCTCGAAAATTATAAACACCCAGTGACCATTTCCCCCTCCCTGCCTCCCCCTGTGCGAAGCATGAGAAAAATTCAACGACTTCCGTAAGTTCTCGAATTCAATGTACTAAATTCATATGCTTTTAAAATTCTCAAAATTGAACCACCATGTTGTATTCATGCTAGGACTTTATAATTAGGATGATTTTGTACTAATGTTGCCATCCACAGTTCCCCATTTCTTCAAAATTTAAAAAAATCATCATCATCATCATCAAGGGGGCTGACGCTGATAGGGGCGCATAGCCACATCCACCCTTCGCTTCCACCTACGAGGATCCCTCATGGCTAGACGCCAGGCAGGGACTCGGCCCATCTCTAGTTCTTCACGGCAGGTTTGGTCGATCTGCCCAAGCCACGACTTCCTTGGTCGTCCCACAGGCCTCCTCCACCCAGGGTTGTCTTGAACAGAGACGACCTGATGGGCAGGATCATCCTGAGGAAAGCGAGCCAGGTGGCCATATAGCCTGAGTTGGCGATCGCGGATTGTGCAAATAACAGGTTCTGTGCTAGTCTCACGGTGCAACTGTTGATTGAACACATGGTCCCGCCAACAGTACCCCATGATCTGGCGCAAGGACCTATTACAAAAGGCTTCCAGACGAGCCTCCAAGGCACAGAACAATGTCCAGGTTTCGCTACCGTATAGCAAAACTGGCATTATCAGGGCCTTGAAAACCCGTAGCTTGGTCCTTCTGCACAGGTACCGACATCTCCAAATACTCTTGTTGAGAGAGTTCATGACCCCTGCTGCCAGGCCAGAGTTATGAACTACACTACCAAGGTATGTAAAGCTCTCTGTGACTTCAATGTCCTCGCCGCAAGCACATACCGACTGAACAGGTTCTCCTAATAAGTCCCCAAATTCTTGGACCTTGGTCTTGGTCCAGGAGACCTCTAGACCCAAGGGTTTCGCTTCATTGCTAAATGCATCCAGAGCCGCCACTAGGGTTTCCAAAGACTCAGATAGAATGGCAACGTCATCAGCAAAGTCAAGGTCTGTAACCTTGATATTGCCCAGTGTTGCTCCCCAATGACTTTGAACAGTAGCTCTGCCCAGTATCCAATCCATGCAAGTGTTGAAAAGAGTTGGTGCAAGGACACAGCCTTGCCTCACTCCTGAACTAACAGGAAAGAAGCTCGACAGGCCCCCACCACACTTTACAGCACTTTCAGTACCAGTATACAGGCTTGCTATTAGTCCAATAATCCTTGTTGGAATTCCTCTCAGTTTCAGGATCTCCCACAGTGACTCCCGATGCACCGTATCGAACGCCTTCTTGAGGTCGATGTAGACTGCAAGCAGCCCACGCCCGAACTCAAGGCGGAGCTCTACAATGACTCAAAGCGCAAGGATACGGTCTATTGCGGACTTACCAGGAGTGAATCCGGATTGCTCCAGACTCTGGTGCCTCAGTAGATAGTCTCTCATACGTCTCAGAAGGATGTAGGCGAGAACCTTGCTTGGTATACTGAGCAGTGTGATGGCTCGGTGATTGCTGCAGTCCCAACGGTCCCCCTTCCCCTTCCAGAGAGGGATGACCACATCCCTCAACAGGTCAGGAGGAACGGTACCGGACCACCATACGGCAGCCAGGACAGCATGTAACCCCCGTGCCATAGGTTCACTACTAGCCTTTAACAGTTCAGCTGGTATGCCGCAGATACCTGCTGCTTTACCATTCCTCAGCTTGGAAATCGCCCCCCTAACTTCAGTTAGGGAGGGAGGGTCCTCACTGATGGGTGGATCCGGCAGCGGGATCTCGACACTACCCGCATCCAAGTTAACTGTTGGTGGGACAACCTGGTACAACTGCTCAAAATACTCAGCCCAATGTTCCCGCACAGCAACAGGATCTGAAACGATCTGACCACTTACTGAGCAAACTGCTGTCACCTGTGAAGAGGGCTTGGAGTTCATCTTTCTCAGGGCTTGGTATGCAGGACAAAGGTCATTTACAAAGAAATGGCCTTCTACCTCCTCTGCAAGACTCCTAATAAACTGTTCCTTGTCCCTTCTTAACAGAGACTAAGTTCTGCACACATGAGAACGGTGCAATTCCCAATCCCCTGTCAGACGAGCCGCACGACATGCGTCTGTGGCTTCCAGTGTCTCCTGCGAGATGGAATTCTGTACTGCTCTCGGGCGTACACCAATCGTATCTTGAGCTGCATCAAGCGTTTCACGCTTGAAGGTATCCCACAGAAGAACAGGGTCTGTCAGACCATCGAGCATTGCGAAACGATCAGAGATTGCCTCAGCAAACCCGCGGGCACACTCCCCCTCCCTCAGCCTGTCCAAATGAAACACCCTAGGGTGATCATTTGACCGCTGGGGAGTTTTGAAGTGGACCCGGAGGGTAGCCACAACCAATCTATGGTCAGTACCACAGAACTCAGCACTCCTATACACCCTGCAAATTCTGGAGGATCCTCCAATGAGTGCTAACAAGTATGTGGTCGATCTCCTTGGCTGCATTACCTGCATCACTGTACCATGTCCAGCGATGTGGGTCTGGGCGCTGGTACCAGGAGCCAGAAATCCTCAATTTCTGGGACCTAGCAAAGTCCCGGAAAAGGAGGCTATTCTCAATACCAGCATCAGCTCCTGAACCATGGGGATCAACAAACATCTCATAGCCAGCTCAATCACAACCGCATTGAAGTCACCCAGAACAATACGAATATCTCGCCTGGGACCACAGATGTAAGTTTGGCCCAGAACATCTCTTTCACGTCAAGTTTACAAACATCGTTAGGAGCATACACAGCAATAACAGACATGAAGCCAAAAGATAGCTTCAATCTCAATACCATTATACACTCATCAACAGGAGTAACCTCTACTACCGAGGGCTGGAGTCTGCTGGAGATGCCAATGGCTACTCCCTGGAGATGGTGGCCGTCGCTGCAGCCCGACCAGTAATAGGTGTAGCCACTTACACAGGTCATGCCGCTGCCAGGCCTCCTCACCTCCGAGAGAGCAGCCACCTCAACTCTCAGCCTCCCCAGTTCCCTCGACAGTAGAGGCAACCGATCATCCTGACGCAAAAGAATGGACGTTCCAAAAAAAAAAAAATAATAATAAAAAAAAAAAAAAAAGTTTTATCTGGTTTAGATTAGTTGTCTCTATGGTAAAATGCCTTTATTAAAATTTTCAGACGTAAATATCTACTTTTATGAACAATGAACAAAAAAAACAAATTACATACCTTTACAGAATAGCGTCCCTATTGAAAATGAAAATTCCTATTGACTTGGTAATCATTGCATTGCAAAGTACACTAAATAAGCATTTTTTTTATATATGATAACATTAGATTCGGATTAAAATAACACAGGTAACGAACTTTGGCAAGGTGCCCAATATAATACGCCGTATCTCCGTTCTTTGTTTACATAACCTTCGGTACATCCTAACTCTCGTAATTTTCGTGTGATTCAAATGCAGTTTGTTGCTTTCACTAGAGCCTCGCTGTCCTAAGGCCGTGTAATTGGCCGATTTTTAAAATCTTTGCCTTAATAAAAAAAATATAGAGATTTTTTAATGCTGAAAAAAGCGAACCAAAAATAGTACTATGTCAAGCAGTCCCCTGCCCCCCCCCCAAAAAAAAAGTAATTCAAAAATCAGCCAATTACATGTCCTTAGGCTAGGGTTGATCTAACACAAGTATTTTTGGGGGACTATTCAGTAAAGAACTGTGGTAGTTAGGATGTACGGAAGACGAAGAAGAAGAAAAAAAAAAAATCGACTTTTTGGGGGGTACCCCCTCCTATGGGGGAGTGAGGTTAAAATTATACATGAAACGAAGTGCAATTCTATACTCTATATCATGCAAAAAGAATCAATCAGTTATCTTTAACCAATATTTTTTTATGATGCAATGAGTAGGGAAAGGTGGCCATTTTCCGGGACAGTCCCCTTAATTAAGATTACATGATGGTGAAATTTAAAGCCCATGCATTACCAGACTGCTAAGGTTTAACAATGTCCTCCTTCCTGTATAAGAATTCATGAAAGTTTGACAGCTATATTCATATCTCTTTTGAAAAGTGTTCACTCTTCAATGAAAAATCTCTTTCATCTCAGCAACTAGTATATAAATCATATGAGGTTTTGTAACTGAGACTTAACCAGTAAAGCATTAAAAGGAAAAGTATTTACAGTTAAACAACAACAACAACAACAACAACAACAACAACAACAACAACAATAATAATAATAATAATAATAATAATAATAATAATAATTACTGTATTTGTCCCATTCACATTATGGAAATAAAAAAGCTAGATTAGTTTGCCTTTTCTTTTCTGTGAACCCAAGGTAACATCTGTTACCTTGGAGTATCAGCTTTGACAGCAAGGAGAATTTTAATTTGCTCTGTAAGCAAATGTCATAGTGAGCTCACTTGCTCCCAAAGGAAATGAATGTGATCATAATTATCAGGCTGAATTAAGTATTCATAATTGATATTACTGCTAAGTATACGAACACGACCCTAGAACCATGATTTTGACATTGACTGGAGTTAATAATCAATGATTACCTAATAATAATATTATTGATAGCTTGTTTAATTCCACTTGTTACAATGGATATTCTTTGCTGTGACATAATGTCTGTACAAGACTGATCATATTGTGAAGATATTTATTCTCATTCATACCTTTTCTACATTTGTCACAATGAATGCGGTTCATAAATTTCTCATATATCATTGAAAACATTAGGACTTGCATATGGGAGAGGAAAGTTGAAATAATTGTTGGATTTGTTATTTCTATTGACATAAAGGTAGCAGGCAAGCTGGAAGGATTATGTTGTGTGTGATAGTAAATAACAAAATTTGACTCATAATTTGAGTACCTGCATTTACTTGTTCTCAAGGTTACTGGTTATCTGATCATAATTACTTTTTTCATGAATAATAATTACATTAAAACTGGGATAAGTGGTTGGAAACTTTTAATTATAGTTGGGATTACTTCTTTGGAAGAAGGATTAGTGGCAGCTTTGCAGTTTCCCACTTGGTTTATGCAGTCACTTGATTAGTGATCGAGGGGATAAAATTCATCATCATCATCATCATGGGGGCTGACACCGACGGGGGCGCATAGCCGCATCCACCCTTCGCTTCCACCTAAGAGGATCCCTCATGGCTAGACGCCAGGCAGGGACTCGGCCCATCTCTAGTTCTTCACGGCAGGTTTGGTCGATCTGCCCAAGCCATGACTTCCTCGGTCGTCCCACAGGCCTCCTCCACCCAGGGTTGTCTCGAATAGAGACGGCCTGATGGGCAGGATCATCCTGAGGAAAGCGAGCCAGGTGGCCGTATAGCCTGAGTTGGCGATCACGGATTGTGCAGATAACAGGGCTTGTGCCAGTCTCACGGTGCAACCGTTGGTTGGACACATGGTCCCGCCAACAGTACCCCATGATCTGGCGCAAGGACCTATTGCAAAAGGCTTCAAGACGAGCCTCCAAGGCACAGGATAATGTCCAGGTTTCGCTACCATATAGCAAAACTGGCATTATCAGGGCCTTGAAAACCCGAAGCTTGGTCCTTCTGCACAGGTACCGACATCTCCAAATACTCTTGTTGAGAGAGTTCATGACCCCTGCTGCCAGGCCAATCCGTCTGCTGACTTCATGGTCTGACAGCCCAGAGTTATGAACTACACTACCAAGGTATGTAAAGCTCTCTGTGACTTCAATGTCCTCGCCACAAGCACGTACCGACTGAACAGGTTCTCCTATCAAGTCCCCAAATTCCTGGACCTTGGTCTTGGTCCAGGAGACCTCTAGACCCAGGGGCTTTGCTTCATTGCTAAATGCATCGAGAGCCGCCACTAGGGTTTCCAAAGACTCAGATAGAATGGCAACGTCATCAGCAAAGTCAAGGTCTGTAACTTTGATATTGCCCAGCGTTGCCCCACAATGACTTTGAACAGTAGCTCTGCCCAGTATCCAGTCCATGCAAGTGTTGAAAAGAGTTGGTGCAAGGACACAGCCTTGCCTCACTCCTGAACTAACAGGAAAGAAGCTCGACAGGCCCCCACCACACTTTACAGCACTTTCAGTACCAGTATACAGGCTTGCTATTAGTCCAATAATCCTTGTTGGTATTCCTCTCAGCCTCAGGATCTCCCAAAGTGACTCCCGATGCACCGTATCGAACGCCTTCTTGAGGTCGATGTAGGCTGCAAGCAGCCCACGCCCGAATTCACGACGGCGCTCTACAATGACTCGAAGCGCGAGGATACGGTCTATTGTGGACTTACCAGGAGTGAATCCGGATTGCTCCAGTCTCTGGTGCCTCAGTAGATGGTCTCTGATACGTCTCAGAAGGATGTGGGCGAGAACCTTGCCTGGTACACTGAGCAGTGTGATGCCTCGGTGATTGCTGCAGTCCCAACGGTCCCCCTTCCCCTTCCAGAGAGGGATGACCACACCCCTCAACAGGTCAGGAGGAACGGAACCGGACTGCCAGATGGCAGCCAGGACAGCATGTAACCCCCGTGCCATAGGTTCACCACCAGCCTTTAACAGTTCAGCTGGTATGCCGCAGATACCAGCTGCTTTACCACTCTTCAGCTTGGAAATCGCCCCCCTAACTTCAGTTAGGGAGGGAGGGTCCTCACTGATAGGTGGATCTGATACAATTCAGACAATTGCAAATTCTATTGTTCAGCATGTCATTAGGATGTTATTGCTTTATTTTTTTCCCAGCAACTATGGTAATCATGATAATTCTTCATCTCTTGAGGCTTTCCTTCATACTCTAAATTATTTCATATAAACAATGAGTGATGAATAATACAGGAAAAAATTATTCATGTATCCATCTCTTTATACATGCTCTCATTTCATAACTACAACCTCTCCTTATATTTCACATTTATTCTGCAGGCACATTCAAGATTACAAAGAGGGATATTTGAAATACAAAAGTAACAACAGAATTAAAGGCATTAAAGCATTTTCTTAGAGTGGATTGATATTTTTTGATGTTATTAGCTTGTAGGTCAAGACATCAAGTAATGGTGCACTGCACATTATGGCAATAACAAAAGGGGATGGGGCCTCTTATATGTCTCGACTGAATAGACTGTACATGCTATGAAATTAATCAACCATGTAACCATTACCTACTTTTAGTATACACTGATCAAAGACATCAACTTATTTCCTCAAAATGTAGAGTCAAGGTAAGGCAGTCTTTGTTTGCACATTCTTTTAGGGATATCTTCCAAAGAGGAGTAACTGAAGACTTCAATTGAAGAATCAAACAACCCGTACTGTTGAGCTCTGAGTATGCACCCAATACCTTTCTAAACACCAGTGCTTGAACTTGTGAACTAAAATGGGACAATCAGTTAGGGCTCATTAAAACATCATATCTACACATTTATTCCCATAAGAAGTTAGGTACAAATGCAACTTCTTTAATCTCACAAAGAGTTTTCGGCCCAGACACAATATAGTCGTAATATTTAATGGTGCACAACTTCACTTAATGCCTCTTTTCCTTCTTTCCCTCCCTCTTCTCCCTATCTCATTATTTTTTCCCCTTTCACCTACTAGGCTTCCCTCCCTCTTCCCTTTTGTTCACACAGCACATCTTACCTTGCGGTTTAAGAGGGACTTCCGGCGCAATCCTGCCTTCTCTAACTCTACTCTTCCTCGAAGAGCAAGTTCTATTAAAATGCAACCGCGAAGACCTGAGGATATGCAGTCATTCCAGAAACTTGTGTATCCCTGAAACAAAAATGGATTGTTAGTATGATCCATTGGAATATCTTTTAAATGCACCTCTTGAACAGGCATTTCTCCTTGCAGTTTTTACAACACTACAAGAGAGAGAAAAGCATATGCACACAATCAGTATTCCCTTCCAATAGTTTTTTGTATCTTTGAAATATGAAGTTATTTTAGCTTCATTGTAGTTTTCCTGAACCAGTAAAAACCAGTGGCTACCTTCACAGACCCTCCACATTCATATAGACCATAGGACTCTACAGACAACTAAGTGCCTATCAAAACCCAAGTATTCATCATTAACACTAAAAAATAATAATAAAAATAGAAAATAATATTAAATTCCACTGGCAAACTGTATTCTCAAAATGAACATCCAGCAGTGTATTTCAAACATTTTTTTAATAAATTGTGAGGCCATCTATCCTTAGAAATAGCTACCAGCATGGATAGACACACACCAATGGCATATGACCAAAGGAAGAGGAAGAGGAAGGAGGTGGGAAGAGATGATATAAGGGATAGAGAGAGACAAAGCATCATGACAAGCAGGAAGGAGAGAAAAGAAGGGATGGAAGCAGAACACAATAGTAGTAAAACAAGAGTATGAAGGAATGAGGCAGAAAGAGCAAATGAGTGAGTGAATGTGAGGGAGAGGGAGGGAGAGGAGAGGAGAGGGGAGAGGGAGAGGGAAGAGGAGAGGAGAGAGAGAGAGAGAGAGAGAGAGAGAGAGAGAGAGAGAGAGAGAGAGAGAGAGAGAGAGAGAGAGAGAGAGAGAGAGAGAGAGAGAGAGAGAGAGAGAGAGAGAGAGAGAGAGAGAGAGAGAGAGACAATAAGAGAGAGAGAGAGAGAGAGAGAGAGAGAGAGAGAGAGAGAGAGAGAGAGAACAATAAGAGAGAGAGAGAGACAATAGAGAGAGAGAGAGAACAATAAGAGAGAGAGAGAGAGAGACAATAAGAGAGAGAGAGAGAGACAATAAGAGAGAGAGAGAGAGGGGGGGGAGATATATAGAGAGATCCAATGGAGAGAGACAATGGGAGAAATTAACAGGGTATACAAAAACACAAAAAAGATAAAGGAAGTGAAGGACACTGAGAAGGTAGCGCACAACTGGAGGGAAGGACGGGAGGAGAGGATGAGGGTGGGGAAAGGGAGGGGAAGGGGGGAGGCATCAACACCTGTTACTTCTACTTCCTCTCCACCTGTGTAGCCACATGTGCGCAGTTACCTTGGGACCTGTGGAGTTTTTTTCTCCTTTGTTGGTTTGAGGAGGCCTTCCACTTACCAGGATTTTCTATTGTTCCCCAAGTTCTTTTCACAAGAAAAGCCTTTTGATGCCACGGAACCATTATGTAACAATATCAGCCAGGGATAATATTTTCACGGTAATAACAATATTCCTAAAGCCAGTTAATTATACTATACATATTACACACAGCACACACACAGACACACACACACACACACACACAACTACACACACAGCGACACACACACAGTACTTACCTATATATAGATAAAATATATATAATATATATATAGTAAGTATTAAATTAGGGCAATAGACGATAGAAATAATACGTATATAATACATATAGTAATTATGTTGTGGAGGCGCGGTGTGTGAGTGACTGGTACATGTGACGTTCATGTATATCAGGTGTGACGATCGGTGGTATCACACAAGGAAAAGCTGTCACTAGCAATACTAGTAGCTCTTGAGGAAGAAGATAGACAACGACAACATTCTAATGTCTGCGTGAAGTTGGCAGAAGAGAGGAATGAACAGAAGAAGCAATGCGTCAGGCGTTATATGCATAGTAATGTTATGTGTAAATACGTATGTGACAAATCAAGAAATAAGTATCACGCCTATAGTAATCTAAATATACAGCCTCATTAGCTGGTGGCTGTACAGACTCTCGTGTTGTGGTGTGTTGTTGTAGTGTGTGTAG